CGAAACATTTGCTCTTTCCGAATCGACATGCTGAATCGCATTGGCTAGTATTACGTTCAGAATTGGTGATAGATCCTATGTATGCGCTGTGATATCCCCAGGTGCTGTTTCCTCCTGACACAATGAGCGTGTCTGCATCACCCGGACTTTCGACATCCAAATAAGAAGCAGAATAGGGATGGTATTGTTCCCATCCGAATCCCATCAGAATTGACCATTGGGTCCTGCATAATATTTCCAGATGTCACGCAGATTCTTGCGCCGAATAACATCACGGAGAGTTAGAAGGTAGAATGCCATCTATGAGAAATCAATCTGGCACCTGCGGTAAACGTGCGTGTCACTACTGCGTGGGCATTACGCAAATTGGCTCATAATTAGGATGGCGATTCTCCACCAGGCGCAGCGTTCAACTTAGTGATAAATTGATCTCCACAACTCATCATCATCATCATCATCATCATACACGTTAGCTAGAGGTGGGAAACACCTCAGCTACTGTGCCGCAATACAAAGAAAAAAGGAGAGAAAAAAAACAACTGGTGAAAGCTGGCTGAGCTACCGGTAACGGATGGGCATCGTTCCGGTAAACTACCAGCCGGCTGCTGTGCATCAAAAGATATTACTATGCAAAATTATATAAGGCTAAGTAGTGAGATCGTGGTTGGAGGGGGAGGCTAAGAGGGATGGGGTGGGACAAAGAAACTCACAGCACGAACGCCCCTGAGGTCGGCTCCTAGTCATATCAGCAAGTGTGTCTAACCAAACGTGTTCATCGTCTTTCGGACCCCAACCAGGGTGTCGAGACGCTCCAACCGAGGCCAGCTTCGAAGTGAGGGCCTTCATTTCTCTGGACCAAGTCATCGCTTGGCCACCCCTCCTCTTCTTCCATCCACACCCCCGGCGCGCAAACAACACACGTCGCGGAAGTCGGTGAGCTGGCATGCGTAACACGTGGCCGAGCCATCGGAGACTGATGCGTGAAATAACGGTGCTGAGCGGTCCATTTCCTTTTCCTGTGCCATAAACATGGCGTCGAACACGCTCGTTACTCACGCGGTGTTCCCACCAAACGTGAGCTAAATTACGAAGGCACCGGTGGTCGAACGTAACTAGCCTCTTCAGGTCCGCTGCTTTAAGCGGCCAGGTTTCACAGCCGTACAATAGGGTCGAACGTACTGCTGCATTGTACACTCTACCCTTCAGGGTGAGAGTGATGTCGCGCCGGCGCCATAAGTGGCGAAGGTTAGCAAAAGCGCCCCGAGCTTTTGCTATACGATTCGTGATTTCATCTTCAATCCCACAGGCGCTGATACAACTTCCCAGGTAGTTGAATTTTTGAACGACTTCTAGCTGATCCCCACCAAGGGTCAGCGTAGGAGGCGGTCCAGACCAATCTTGGAGAAACGCTTTGCACTTCGAGGGTGCGAAGCAAAGCCCGAAGTGACGGACAGCTAGTGCTAATCTGTCCAGTGCCGCTTGGCACGTTTGTGAGCTATCACAGATGAGGGCAATATCATCAGCATACTCTAAATCAAGAAGTCGTTCTCCACAACTGCAAACAACAAATGGTATTCCCCAGTTGACCGAACCATCACCTACCTGGAGGTTTCTGCTCCATGTCCCATCGACATAGAAACGAGGTGCGACAGTTGGCCTAATCCTCTAGAGGCGTAGACAGTGAACATTTGTGCACCCACATTCCTCGTGGTTGCCTGACTTGCGACGCTGTGTTCGGAAGCACATGGAACACGTAGCTTGAATGTTCACCCACAGTTGTCGACATTCGGTGTGATTGCAGTGGATAAGTGCGGGTGGCGACGAATCGGCGATGGGGAAATTAACATAGTCAAGCGAGTATCAACCTGTTGTGTGCATGCAGTCTTTTTGTAGTCCCGATGTCAGCCCGAAGTTTTGTGCCTGATATAGCGCGAAGTGTCATTGATGTTTCATTTGGTGTAATAGTGCCAACACCCACCATGACGTGGACCCACTATTGCGGGTTATTTGTTAAGCACAATTTGCACACCATTCAGCATACTTGGGGAATGTAACCATGCGGACTTTTGGCTGTGACTATACCACGTGGAGACAAATGTGCTGTTGGAGATGGGGACCGACGTAGCACAATGCGTTACTATGGATGTGGCGTGCGCATTTCATAGAACAATGCATTTGCACGATGGGAGCGACCTGAATCCCATTCAGCTGTGGAAAGTCATGAAGCAGCTATCGAATATGGTGTTCTGTACGGAATGACTATCATGAATTGCAGGTGGAATAGTTGGGTTCGAATTGCCATTACTTACGGTTGCTAAGTAGCGAATGCATAAACTAACTATATAGGATGTGAGATATGTAGTGTGGAATGGCATTTGGTTTTTAAGTAGGGGGACTGGAAGTGGCAACCCTTGGAGGAGTTTCGAATTATTCGGCTAATTTGCCGCAGCAACGTTGAATGCAGTCCGAATTCACGCAAGATGTGCACTGCAAAGTTACGAAACTGACTGATCCGAACCCTGCTCGTGTTCGGTTGCTCTCTGCAGTTAAAGCATACCCGAACCAGACTCGAAATCGGGAATTTGAGATGGTTGCTTGGCGACTCCACAAATGGAATACAGTGTTCCACGCCGTGAAATGGATGACCACACTCGAAAGTGCCACCACCTCGGCGCTATGCATTAACGTCGATTAAGTCACCTATTCGATACTGGCATCTGTCCAGCGAACGGATGAGCAGGTCAGTAGATAGTGGTGAGGCGAGCATGTGCTTCGCACTGTTCAATATCCGGGAGCGACCGTACACCCGTGCATCCCCGGGTATTCACGTAACTTCAGTGATATCAAAGAACTCCGAATTCACGGGTTCACAGCAGAGTTTTCATCTTTCCGTGGTTGGCCGATAGACATAACCTCTTCAACAATGGACTGTGCAAAATGTGTTCCAACTATAGGTTTATAACCAATGAGCAGTTGAAATTTGAGTGTGAGATAATATGTAGATGACATGTAGGTTTTACGCAAGCACGCACGCACACACACACATGATACTACTGAGGAGGCTTGCACATTAACCAGTTGACAAGTAGAATGGAGTTCGCTGATCACGTGCGTGGTCAAGACATTGATACAAGCGTTCTGTTGCCTCAGGCCGTGAACAGCGATTTCTCAAGAACGAGGCCTTCTTGCTGCTCGTTCGCCAGTAATAAAATGCATGCTCTGTCTCAGTTATGAGTAACACCTGAAATACTCATGTGTGCGAACACCCATAGACCAGTGTGTGTGTGTGTGTGTGTGTGTATGTGTGTGTGTTGTAAAACGTGCGGCCCTCCGGCAGAAAGAACAACAGGTGGCGGCGACACGAAAATCTTTATTGGCGAGAATTGCTTTCTTTTCATATCAGATATGACCATTTTCTGCGCCCGTTTCTATTCGGCTACTACACTTTCATGCATTTGTCTCCATTTGCCAGTGTCCTTTGATCCAGGGCGTTTCGCCTCCAATCGTTCGGTCGTAATTCGTCCATGGCATTTGCTACAATTGGTTCCCCATGCTGTGTCTTGACGATCAAAAACCAATCGGCCGATGGGTTTCGGTTCAGTGCCTGCTCTTTCTGGCCTATGGACGGTCGTTCGCGTACCGGATTGACGTGACGCTGATTGGTCAGGCGTCTGATGCAAGTCCTCGATCCCCTTAACGTCGCTTACTCGTTTGCGAGCCGTCTCGGGTTTTGATTGGATATTCGGACCACGCTTGTTTGCCAGACGCTTTGCCGAGCCGTTGGTCTGTTCGTCCGATCGGTAGCTTGTGTGCGCCACTGGTTGGCGGTGCCGCGAACTGATTGCGATCTCCGATTGTGTTGCCGATTGGTGGAAACCAGTTCGCGCTGTTGGCTGGCGGTTTGGCACGTAAGCTACCATCACATGTGTGTGTGTGTGTGTGTGTGTGTGTGTGTGTGTGTGTGTGTGTGGAGAAAACAAGGTGATCAATGTTGCGTACATGACTAACATGCTGATGTGCAGATTGCCAGTAATGATTTGAAACCGACTTTGTCTAACTTATTGAGTACGCTGCGTGTTTACTACTAGCTGGACGTCGACAACTGTATAGTTACTTATCTACATCGCATCGTTTGTGCGTGTCCATCATTGTAATAGATTCGAGCATTCTCACTGTTGCGATTTAGCGTTAATAGCCATCCGCCTCCAGTACAGTAAATGCATATTGTGTGAATAAATCACGGGAACAAGAGACTTGGAAGATGAGTCCGATTTGATGTGCAGTGGAAATGCTCAGCGAGATTATTCGTGCATATGTAGAGAAATGCTAACCACTGAGACAAAGCTAAGCAGAGTAGCACGATATATAAATGAGGGCGATACGTTCAATATAGAAAGCTTGTAAGTCTTAACCATAGCGTTAGTTTCTCACAACATGTCATCTCGGCTAGCGGCACGTTAACAGGCCAGCACTGAGCAACTGACACTGCAGTACATACCTTGTGCTGGTGAGTCTAAACAACTCTACTTTGTTTCGCAGTTGATCACGCAACACCGGGGTAGTGTTTCTGAGTTTGCGATCCTGTGCCGTTCATCTGGTTTCCCACTACTAAAATTGCAAGCCCAAGTACAAATTCGTAGCAGTGACCAACAATCCTGTGAGGAAAGTTGGATAATCAACCGAAGGATGGTGAACTGCCACGTTGGTCATCGATTTGTTTTCCTAAACACGTTGTTCGAACAATGGAAATTTTTCCGAGCCATCGTGACGGTAGTACAATGGTGGAGTACAGCAATGCCAACACACAAATCACTTATCACATCAAGATTCGTTGGTGAGACCATTCGGCTCATGAGAATTAACCCCTCTGCCGGATTCGTCTCCTTCGTAGCCGGTGATTGGAATTTGAGACACACCCATTGATCAACCAGAGTGGGAGTACGATCGGTTAACTCATCACAACCTGTGACCACCCGGACCAATCAAATGGCTGCGCTGAGATGAACATGTGCTCCAGCTCCGCCGGCCTATACGAAGCCAAAGATCGCTCGGATGGGAGCACTGAGGATTCATTACAATCTTCCACACAGACACTCATGCACTCGAGAGGAATATTGCGTCGCCTGCTTGGTGCAATGACGGACCCAGTTCGGCGTGCGGAGGAATTACGAGTGAGTCCACGAGTAAACATTGATGAGAACATGACTTAGAGTGCGGTGTCTTTCGCCTCACTGGACGGAGTTTTGCTCAACCTGCTACTGGGATGTAGGCTATGTTTGAAATTGGTTTCCTCGTATGGAACGTCAGCATGTTGGGTACTTGTATATTTTTCAACATCAATTCCACAACGGACGTCCGTCAATATTTCGATGATGCTTAATAACGTGGCTAATGCACTCGCATTCTAATGATTTGTGCCTTCTCTCACAATCCTCGGTCGCATTTGCTATTAGGTTACCTTGTTGATGACACACTTTTCGTGCATATATGTGGATAGAAATAGGTCATTCCAATGGCCGGTTCCCAGTTTCACTAGGGATGCATTTGGAACACTTGTGAACCATCGGTGTTGTGATGCTCATTCTCTGAGCTTATCCAAAATATTGCTGGGCTATCAGTACATTTACATAGCTGTTGTCCGGGCGCCTATATCTGCGCATCATGTACCGTGATCCAGGAAGTTGGTGGAGAACAAGTTCTCTGTGCTGTCACTATCCTGTGGGTAGTCGAACCACAAACAATCTTCGCGATTGCGGTGGCTGATTCTTTGATCTACTGATACTAATGCACATCACTGACCGTAAGGTGATTGAAACTAACGATTTGGATTTTATCGATATCTCTGTAATATTCAGCAAGCACCTACCTGCATGTGTGTGTGTGTCATTTATATCACTGTTAATTCCGGTGTTGAAGCAGTGGGAATAATTTCCACCTTGATCGATTGCAGTTGCATAGGATGAAAATGAAGCGGAAGCGAGGGCAAGGCTTTGCAACCAACGTGCGTGCATTAGTACAGGAGCTTTTAGAAGAAGAAGAAGTGAGTTTCTGTAACTGTCTCTTTATTTCCGTGTGTGCTAAATCCATGATATAACTCTTTGCTGACTGTCGCTTGGGAAATGTCCTCAACCTGTGCATTCAACGCCATTTCTCATTGACTTTGTAGCATAGAGTGGCTCGTGAGGAAGAACATTCGGATTTCTCAGACGACGATTACACTGTGCTCGGAAGTGGTGCATCGTCGAATGACAACCGACGTGGTAAGTGATGCTTGACATACACTGCACTGATTGTAAGTTTCTCAGTTCAACTGAGCAGGGATTAGCTTGTGTTGTAGTTCAGGGTAGAAGATCTTCCTAACTAGTTCTTTGGCACTGATTCCGTTATCCGGACGAAACACATAACGCATTGTCGGTGATTAAGCTTTGATTTAACGAGAATGAATTCCAGTGTGTGATTACCGATGTTGTTGTGACATGTTGGGGTTAACCATTTTCACTAGTGATGATGCCACTGTTGCACACTGCATTTGGTGTGTGTCGAAAATAGGTGTTCCGATTCGTACGAATCATAAAGCCGGTTGAAATTGGCTGCAGAATGCTGGAATGCGTTGGATGTGCACCCGAGGTGCTGTGGTGGTCACCCATCACATAACTGGTCATTGAATTTTCAAGCAGTACGATGATGCATTGAGCGGAATTCTCTACGACGGCTTCCACATGTGGTGGAAGAGTAGCGGAGAGCATCATTCGGTCCATGTCGGTAAAATGAGCGCCAGTGCATTTGAAATGCAAAGTTCAGATGTCATTGGAGTTGATGGTGGTGATACTAGTGGTACTTGGTTTCGAGTATCCTCCACATGTAGGTAGGTATCAGTCGAAAAGTATCTCCTTTCTTAATGTGCACGACTGCTTCCTCTTCTTCGTTTTCCCTCTTATGAACCGCTTGGAAACAGAGTTGTTAGAATCGGCAGGCTTGGAGTGTAGTACTCCAAATGTCAAGTTGGATTCCAGGGGATTGTAGGTAGCATGGGAGTAGAGGTACATGCTACCGTCTCGTGTTCGAATACATGATTCACACCGAGTGAGATTGCGTTTCTTGCTCACTGGTGGGCCTCTGAGGCACAAGTTCGAACCCCATCAAATGGCCAAATCATCTCCACTTGATCACACTGCTCCAATTGTCTCCATCATGCGACACCTGGAGTTCGCGTTCTGCGTTGTGCTTCTAATCATGGATCATTTTCATTGCAGAGCTCAAATCGCAACTGAGGCGGTCAGCTGAGGAGGACGTGGTGCACTATAACGGGGATAGTGCTCCATTGCCCATCCCTTGCGTGCGCCAGCAGGAGCAACTGGGGAAGAGGGAATACCATCCGCTCCGACTGGATGGTCCACTCCTGCCCTCCACCAATAGCGCTTTCACGCCTTGCGACTTGAAACGGCGTCAGATGAACAGTCCATCGACACCACAGACTGAGCCGTCGTCAGGGCTCGATGCGGAACAGTTTGACGTCCCTTCGCAGCAGACATCCATCTCCGTGGTGCATGGGACCTGTTCCCATTTACCGAAGCCGACTCAGTCACAACACATCCGGCTTGATCCCATCTGCGTTGAGAGCCATGCTACCACTATCCTCATCAAAGCTGAGGTCGACTCTTCAATATGTATGAGATGGGTTCACTGTTACCATTGCTCGTTGGGCGGATCATCATGAATGCATTGTGTCAACACATCAAGGATCTGGATGCCGTATTTGAATGAAGCCATTCTGACAAATCTGAGACTATGCTAAGTTAGCAAGTGTGACGTACTGATGTGAGGTTTACAAAACTATTTCCCTTTCGAATTCATGGCAATTAACGGTTTCCGACATTTCCCGTAATGTACAGAATATTGCACTGTATTGCTCGATGTGATTTGCTTTCTCGAATGAAATTACCCACAATCCTTCTCACCTACGTTCTCATTCGGGGATACACTGAGTTGGGGCGTGACGTGTCAATGGTGCATTCAAATCATTTGTGCTGTCATTGTTACTGATTGGCCAGCTACTGATTATGCATGCGGCTCTGCGTACGTATTGGCTCACGCCACACATGGCAACCTCATGAATGATGTGGTGCATAGTGCATGAGATGATGGATGTCGTATCTACAGAGTGCAGTAGGTATAACATTTCGCACGTGATTGTGGTGGGTAAGTTTGTGGGCTGCCATTGTTTGATGGAATGAGGACGCGTCAGCATGATTGATCAAGTATGGATATGCAATCGCATACAATGTTACGGTGGGATGATGTGGGGGGTTGACCGACCATATTATGTAGACATTTAGGGAAACGGCTTGATTCACGTGTCCGGATGCAATTACCAAGGAGGATGTTTGCTTGTGGCCAGCTATTGTTGATTCAGTTATTTACCTAGAGCCACCGAATTTAAGCTGACTCAGTACACGCAATTCACGTTTGACCGAAGTGGTTTGAAGTAGATGTTGACCGATCCGCATGAAGGAGTCTCGGCTCAGCTAACTTATGTGGTAAAGAGTGCATCAGATTTCATCCTGAAATCTGATGCACTCTGTTATGGCCGCTATAGAGCGGCTACTGACAATCATTCAGCTTATCTACTCGCCATATCTTGATGTGGTTACTAAATCCCATGAAGTCAGCATCATCAACATGTTGCTCGGTGTCGCCAAGGAAGTTTGCAAACAAAAGTGCCTGTTGCACTGAGTCATGCTGCGCACCAAATTCGACTTGAATGCGAAGTGACAGAGAGCACTGTACTCCGACACTAACGCACATGCGCTTTTAAATTCTACTATTCCTCATGCCGTATTACGTGACACAGGAGACACGATTGGTTGATGTAGACCCTCGATTGCTTTCGACGAATTCAAGTAGGTCATTCACAGCAACCGCATCTGCAAACTCAGTCAAATCAGTACGACATCACTGTTTTAGCAGGAATCGGGTGGTGCACGTTGGCTGTCTATGAAAGCGGTGCAGTTCGAGAGTCAGAATGGAAAGTGTCCGCACCCAGAATGACAACCGCCTTAGTACTTCCGTATGGAAACATAAACATGTCCGAGCGATCCCAATCTGCAACAATTATCTACCTAAGCAAAACAGTGCCCGTGAACACGCCAGCCACCGTGACCATGGAGAATGCCTGAGGCAAACATTTAGGCGCATCCAGTGATCTTTGATCAATAAGTAAACTCCAGTATCCGAATAGCCTTTCGAGTTCGTGTCCATCAATATTCTTTGGAATGAATAATCAGCTCACTAGACCGAGACGAGGAACATTTGATTAGGAACATGAGGGATCACGTCCCCACATCCGATGTGCTTCCTTGAAGATCCGGATGAATGTAATACGGAGATCTGAATGTTTGCCTCGTATGTGGGCAGTGATCGTGAGATAGATCGGTACTGGATATTGTCAGAGACAGGCAGACACGGAGGCGCGCGTCTTCTTAATCTCATAACATCCACGAGCGAGCGGTCACATTTCCGTTTTCCAACTCGTACCGTTCGTCAGTTCCCACGAGTTGATGGAACTGCCATACACAAAACAGCAATCTGTTTTTACCATCTTTAATTATTTGTTTAATTCTTCCGGTACATGGCTATGAAGAGTACAGGTTATTTAATGAAAAATTGCACGTGATCACTGAAATAAAGTATTTGGCTACTAATGCTCCAAAAATTTTAATATGCTGCAGCATAAATATAGAATTTCTAATTTCAAGTCAATATTAATTTTAGCACGGATTTATGTCTTTTTCCCACTATTTCGAATGCTTCCTCGGTGTGTGCCGTTAGGTAATCATGGTTCATCAACTCTGCATTTCGAAACTTTAGAGAGCTACCCACAAACGAACCATATGTTTTGATTTCCTAGTCTTGTTAACGGGCACTATTCTTGCACTGCAACACACAAGCACGAGCACTGCAACTTGTTACCATTCATCACGCTTCGGTAATAAAATAGTTACTATAAAATTAACTCGAAACTTCAATCTTGATATAGGAATCTAGGCAATATTTTCCATGACCTACACATTGTGCAAATTTGGCTTTGAAAGACAAGTTTAATGTTCTTAAATTTACTCCGATTTGCGTCGACCGATGATAATCTGCTGAGTTGTGAGGCGAAGCATAACACCTATTTTGATTTAGTAACACATGGAACCATATAAATATTTTAATCCAAGCCATCCCCACGCTAACCACATCGGTGCATGCAAATGGGCATTTGTCCTATACATCTGTATACCTACAAATTTTATCGTATTGGACCCATGTTTATCTATGCGGCGTACGTGAATGTCTCACACAGCATGTCCTAAGAGAGTTGAACATGCACGACAGTCTGTAGCTGAAAAGACGTTTCGATAAAAAATAATTCCTCTATTCAAAGTAACACTAGCAGGGTCCGTGCAATGGAGATATTACTTAGCTCCTAATATAAACAGATTCACACGTAAGAGCTTCTCGTAAATGGTAATGAGGCATCAGCTCAACATCCAAAACAAACCCTTAAAACATTAATCTGCTAGGTTTCTTTCTCTCCCACGTATTTTCGGCTAAATGCAAAAACGAAAAAACATCAGCAAATGCCACAATAAATATCAACGGACATGATCCAGGATCAGGCGAAAAGCGTACAGCTTTCGGACTACCTGAATCGCAATGTGTCCAAAAGAGTTCACAAGGTGTTTTAACTGCCGCAGTTGCACTAATCTTAAAGTAAATTGGTAAATAGTTTACCGTTACTGGATACACCCGACCTCTAAAGAATATGACACACCACCGCAAAACCATTACAAATGAAAAGCATGTAAATCCAGGTGGCTATGCGAGTCCGTTCGTAGAACTTTTTGAGTCCAAAACCCACTTCTTGGAAGACAAGTATTCAACTGATATGAATCTGGGTACAACAGACGGGAAAAGTTTTATGCTTGAACGTAAGCAACTCCTGCATTTAGTGTTACCAGACTTCCAAACATAGCTGACTGTTTCATCAATTTTACCATTGCATTTTATAAGGGCAAAGAAGTACCATTGCTGGATATACTAGCCCGCGGGAAATTTGACGGTATATATTAACCATGTTTACACTGGAAGAAGACCCACTCAGGATAAATATTTGCCTACCACAGCAACCACCATCTGAACCACATGGAAAGCTGCAAGCAAAGCTAATTCAGAAGGGTGGAAGCACACTGCAGCGTAACCGAAATCAGGAAGAAGGAAGAGAAGCATCTATTCCCATTATTGCAAAAAAGTGTATCTAATAAAGGGTATGCAAAGAAGTTTGAAGAAAATGGTGCCGTACAACAGCGAAGAGTATGATAAACTTGTACTGTTGTCTTACATTACAAATATGTCTGAACTTACAGCGGGATTGATGCAACCACCTAGAATCTTGGTAGCACACAAACCGTTTTATTTCAGAGGACTGCTTTAATGGAAATAAAGAAGTCAATCAAGGCAGTCAGAATGATATCATCTAAAAAGTAAGCTGAAAACTGGAAGTAAACATCCAAAAGTACCAACGCATTCAGAATAACCGTTAGGAAACGAGCTATATTAAATATTTTCCATGCATGTAGAACAAGAACGAAAAACTTGGATCAAATAATGTCATTAACCACGTCATCATCATCATCAACAGTAGTACATCAGCCATTTGAACTGATGCCTCGATGTCATACAAACATGAGGACATATGAAATATAGAATAGAAAGGGGGAGAGAAGGAGAACTATCTCAAAACCTTACTGTCCTAAGAAAACATTCAGGTCAAGGCGGCTACACCTTGTGTTAACAACATATTGTCACAGACAGCTGGCTATCGTGCAAAGATAAGGCGGCATCGGCGAGACAGCTTCCTTGCGGCTTTCACTGCCACGCGTCATAATCAGCCATTACCCCGCAGATAACTCAGCACCGAACACACTTTAAACAGGCAATCCGATTAGGAGACGGCAGCAGACGCGCCACTGGTGTCGGTTGCGATCCATCTTCTGTAACTTCTCGATCCAAGCACAAGGCGAGTCACATGGACTCCAGCCAGGAAGGCGAGGTGGTCCAACAGCATCCAGTTTTGTCTTCAGTAACTTCATTTCCCGCTGCCAAATCAACATCCATCCACCTCGAGCCTTGCGTCACCCTACACCCGGCAGACTAAACAAGGCCCTCCTAGGTAAGGAGTGACCAGGCACACATAGCACGTGCCCAAGCAAACGCAACTTATTCAGTGCTATCTGTTGTTCTAGGGAGCTGGCATTATTATCACCACCTAGTACTCGCCTACGCACATCATCGTTGCGGACACGCTGGTGCCATCCGACTCCAGCAATGCTTCGCATACAACGATGATCAACGAATTGAAGGCGCCTCAGATCTTCAGACCGAAGGGGCCAAGTCTCACTTCCATAAAGCATAACGGCCCTCACTGTGACCTTGTGGACCCGGATTTTCAGTCGGAGGGAAATACCATTCTGTCGCCAAAGATGCCGCAGGTGCAAGAAGATAACTCTGGCATTTGTAACGTGATAGCTGACTTAGTTTCTATGCGTCTATCGGTGTTGATACAGCTTCCAATATAAGGGAAATGATCAAACACCTCAAGTTTCTTGTTAGCAAGGCTCAAGGGGTCATCAAGTGGCTGGTGGTATTGCAACAACACGTTGCACTTTGAGGGTG